CCCCCCCCCCCCCCCCCCCCCCCCCCCCCCCCCCCCCCCCCCCCCCCCCCGCCGCCCCGCGGCATGGGCTCGGATCCAACTCAAGTTCCCAGTGACTTTCCGGAGGCCGGGAACAGGGGAAAACTTTTTCCAATACAGTCAGATCCCGCCTCCCTGGCGGCTCCACGTCTTCCACAGCTTTCCCAGGACCCCAGAGTCCAGGCCCCCAACCCCCTCCTTCCTCGGACCCCGGAGCTCCGGCCCAGACAGACAAAGACCCCTGGCCGAGCCCAGTGGCGCTGAGGCATTCAGGACCCCCGTAGGCCAAAATCCCAGCCCAGCTCTCCCCCATGTGGCCAGACAAAGGGACAGAGGAGCTGAGTCAGAAAGGTCCCCACTAATTTCCTGCCCCAGGCCCCAAACCTCCAAAGAGACAAGACTGAAGATCCAGAAAGCACCGTAGCCCCCCCTTCTGCCACCCAGGAGGCCTCCTTTCTCCATGAGGAGGACCAGGCGCCCACAAATGACACACACAAACCAATTCGATCAGAAACAAGCATGGGGCCCTTTCTCACTTGAAACCGATACCTCCTCAGACATTCCCCCCACAGTCCCCCATCCTCACCGACTCCCAGGCGCACACTCCCAAACTCAGACCCATCAACAGATACCCCAACTCTGGCGAAAGTTCCAACTCCACACTTAGACTCAGTCACGAGCGCAAACTCGGGCCCCCCCGGCAAAAAGAGGGCTGCAAGCAATTCAGAGACGGTCCCACAAACACCTCAACTCATAACGCATAACTTCCCACCCGAACTCACACACCCCAAAGCAGGATCCCCGACTCCCGCCGGCGCCTTCCTACCTACCTCCCGGCCTGGGGCTGGGGAGCCGCGGGCGGGCGGGGCGCTGCGAGGGAGAAAGTTGCCCGGGAGCTTTGTTTGGGAAAAGTGGGAGGGACCGGAGGGGGGGCGGGTCCGGGCGCCGGACAGCGGGATGGGGGATCCGACGGTGACAGTCTGGGAGAGGATTTTTGCTTTGGGAAAAGACAGGTGAAGTCTAGCTGAGGCCTGGTGAGAATTTCGGAATTCTGATGCTTGGATCCCTGAGAGAGGAGGAGAATTGGGGGTCTGGACACCTGGGTCTGAGGGAGGATTGATGGGGACCAGGAAACCTGTCTGTATCTGAGAGAGGAGGAAACTGGGGGCCAAGATTCCTGAGTCTGGAGGAGGAATGGTCTGGGGGCCTGGACTCCTGGCTACCCTCTAGTGTAGTTTGTGTGTTGGAGATGTGGAAGTGATTGATAGGAACACAAAAGAATCCGGTTCAGCGTCAAGTATATTTTTGAGACTAGAGGTATGGGAATGGGTTTTTGATTGATTTCCACTGATTTCTTTTGATTGATTGGTTTCCTTGTGACCTCATCAGAGTTAAGGGTCGTGGGCAAGACGACTGGGAGTTTATTGGAGGTTCACCAAGGTGGAGACTCCCGCATCCACACGCACTAGTGGACTAGAGGTGGCAGCTCTCCCAGGACCCGGGGAGAGCCTTGGTGCCTGAGGAAAAAGATGAGGGTCCCGTAATTATACCCCTTAAAGAGGAAGGGTCCCTTAAAGATGAGGAGTTGAGTGTTCAAACTCAAGAGACAAGAGGGGCTGGGGTCCAGACTCTGGGGTCCTGAGGAAAAAGGGAGCCCGGGTCCCGGGTTCCTTGTAAGGTGGTACAGAGGACTGGATTTAGGGTTTCTTGAGAGGGCTGAGCTTTTTAGTGGAACCGAAGAGGGCTCGGGGTTCAGCGTCCCTACATTGCACTCTATTGAGCGTATTAATCGTTTCAAAACCTGGAGAAAACGAAAAAGGACACGGAGAAACTCTCATAGATAGATACAAAACTAAGCAGTGGGATAATCAGGACTGCTCGGACACGGGTATTTCATGAGCAGAGAGAGCCTAGGAATGGAACTGAGGGCGCTAGGGGCAAGATCTGGGGCACAGAGGCGTGGCCTAGGTGCTGGGGCGGGGCTCTAAGACAGGGGCGGGGCCACCTGCGATTGCAGAGTGACTCCGGCACGATGGCCACGATCAGAGAACAGGGGCAACACTGGGTCTCCAGTGCCGAGGTCCACCAACAGGAGCGTGGTCTGACTATGGGGGTGTGAACTTGAAATCAACGCCCGGCTCTGGCTCAAGGGGCGTGGCCCTTCCCTTAAGGGCGTGACTGTCCAATAGAGGGCTGGGCTCATGGGTGAGGTCAGCAAATGGGGGCGTGGTCAGACAATAGAGGCGAGTCTAGGCCTCGAGGAGCTCATTCAGCGCTCCAGGTATCCGGCCTGGGCTCGAGATCAGAACTGTTTGGATTTAACAGTCCGTGGACGGCCAGAGTCTGAGAGTCCGGTGACCGGGCTGTGGTCTAGTATAAAGGCGGGTCCCAGAAGAAGGGGCAGGGCGTGGGAGAAGGTGAGGAGGAACGAGATCTGGTTACGAATGTGGGCGAAGGAGAGGAACGAGATCTGTTGTGTGAGGCAGAGCCCAGAAGAGTCGGGCCTGAGGGGATGGGAGGGGCCTGACACAATGGAGGGGGTTGGAGCAGAAGATAAGGGGGGGGAAATGGGCGTGGGGTGCGGAGTTCCTGGGCCAGGGATAGGAAGGAGTTGTTGTCTAGCGTGGGGGTGTGGGCACTTAGGGGACGGAGCCTTTATGGGGGGGCGGGGGGGCTCTGACCCCTGCCCTTGCCATAGCCTCCCGGCCCGTCCCGCAATGTGGCACCCGCTAGTCCTGTTGTTGCTGCTCCCCTCTGCCTCGGTGTCCCCCTCCACTGCAGCCCCGATCCGCGATGGTGACGCCCAGCAGAGCTCCTCGGGTTTCCTAGGTCTCCAGAGTCTACTCCAAGCCTTCACCCGGCTTTTCCTGAAAGTAAGCGCTGCCGTGTGTTGGGGAAAAGAAGAGGTACAGAGAAGAGGGACGGGGCAGATGGTGACTGAGGGATGGAAGGGGTTCAGGGAGACAGAGTGGGAGACGGGTCGCGGCCAGATAGAAAGATAGACAGAAAGAGGAGTCAAGGGACAGAGAGATCGTGCAACAGGGAGACCAAGAGATAGGAAGAGAGGGAGGGAGACAGGCAGAGAGACAGACAGGAGGAGAGAGGGATGGGGACAGAGAGACAGAAGACAGATGGGGGCAGGAATAGGAAAGTAATGGGACAGATGGGGAAAGGAGGTGACCTGGTTAGGCCCTAAGGGTCAGAGGATGGAGAGAGAAGGGGATCCTGCCAAGGCTACAGATATCCTGGGGAGTCCGGAGGTCCAGTAGCTCACCAATTCCTCCCCCAGCCCCAAGATGACCTGCTGTGGGGCATGGACAGCTTCTTCTCTGCTCCTATGGACTTCCGGGGCCTCCCTAGGAACTACCACCAAGAAGAGAACCAGAAGCACAGGCTGGGAAACAAAACTCTCTCCAGCCACCTCCAGATTGACAAGGTGCCTATGCCAGGAAGTCCCTCCTGGAGTCTCCCTAAGATCCCTCAAGCTGCAGTATCTGTCAGGGAGGAGGGCATAGGAGGAAAGAAGTTTTTTCTTACTCTCCTACCGGTCCTCACAGGTGACCAACAACAAGACAGGAGAGGTGCTGATCTCTGAGAAGGTGGTGGCATCCATCGAACCAGGAAAGGGGAGCTTGCAGGGTGACTGGAAGGTTAGGACACGCCCCCAGCAAAGTGTCCAAGCCCAAACACTTTCTGTAGTTTAGGAGGAAAAGATGAATTGACTCTCCCACTCCCTCTGTGCTGGACACCCTCTCTCTGGGCCTCAGTTTTATCATCTGTCAAAAGGGACTAACCAGCTCTCAGAAATGAGGTTTACAACCTCAGAGTACATCCTTGCTTGCTTCAAACCCCAGAGGGTTTTGTAAGCCAGAAACAGTGTTTTTCATTCCAAGTGTTTGGTAAGATTCACCCACGTAAACCTCAAAGTGTGTTTTGATCTCAAAGTGCTCTGCAAACCTCCAAGGATTTTTTAATCTATCCCAAAGTGCTTGGTAAATCTCTCCCTTGTAAACATCAAAATGTGATTTTTAATAATTCCTAAGTACTTTATGAACCCCAAATGCTTTGGGTATCTCACCTTCATAAACCTCTAAGAGTGATTCTAATCACAAAGTGCTTATTTTTTGATCCTAAAATGTTGTAAGAACACTCAAGTGCTTGGCAAACCCACATGGTTCTCCCACACACACTCCCAGTTTTTTATTTTAAAGATTTCAAATCTACAGAAAAGTTGCAAAAACAATAGTACCATAAACCTGTATCCACTTTTCCACAGAGCAGGGTTTCTCAACATCAGCACCATTGGCATTTGCGGCTGGATAATTTTTTGTTGTAGGGGGCTGTCCCGTGCCCTATACAATGTTTAGCAGCATCCCTGCCTCTACCCACTAGACGCAAGTAGCACCCACACCCCCTCCAGTTGTGACATTTTACCATACTGACTTTCTTTTTACTTTTTTATTTTTGAACCACATAACAGTAAATTATTGACATCATGACACTTCACCCCTAAATCCTTCAGCAGATATCTCCTAAGAATAATGCATTCGCTTGTGTGTTACCACAGTCCCATTTTTACACCCAAGAAATCAGACTATTATCTCTGTATTAGTTTTCTAGGGCTGCCGTAACAAAGTCCCACGGATTGGGTGGCTTAAACAACAGACATGTATTGTCTCATGGTTCTGGAGGCTAGATGTCCAAGATCAAGGTGTCAGCAGGGTTGGTTCCTTCAGAGGGCTGTTGGGGAGAATCTGTTCCATTCCTCTTCCCTAGCTTCTGGTGGTTTGCTGACAATTCTTTAGCGTTCCTTGGCATGTAGAGGCATCATCCCCATCTCTGCCTTCATCTTTGCATGGGGTTCTCCCTATGTGCATTTCTATGTCCAGATTTCCCCTTTGCATAAGAACACCAGTCAGATTAGAGCCCACTCTAATGACCTCATCTTAACTAATGAAAACTACATAGTGACCCTATTTCCAAACGAGATTACATTCTGAGCTACTAGGGTCCTAATGGACCTCAACATATGAATTGGAGAGTGGGGGAGACACAATTCAACCTGTAACCATCTCCTATGGGACTTCCCAAACCTCAACGTACTGAAATTTAGACTCTGATTCAGTAGGTCTGGATGGGGTGGGGCCCGCTCATTTGCATGTCTAACAAGCTCCCAAGTGATGCTGACGCTGCTGGTCCACAACCCTCACTTTGAGTAGCAAGGACCAAACAGACATTGAAATGTCCCTGCTGGATGAAAAGCTGTCCACAAGAGCTGATGTGATTGATGTTTGATCCAGGATTCAGTCAAGGATCACATATTGCAACTGTGGTCATGATTCTTTAATCCCAAAGTGCTTTGTACATTTCAAACTGCTTTCTAAACCTCAGGGAATGCTCAATCCTAAAGTGCTTCTGAAACCTCCAAAATGTGTTTTCAAACCCAGAGTATTCTATAAACCTCAGAGTATTTTTAATTCTAAAGCGCTTATAAACCCGAGTGTTTTGTAAACTGCAGGGTGAGCTTTTAATTCCCAAAGCACCCCATAGGTGGCAAAGTGGGTTGACTATGCCAGGGGAGCATCTTGAGGCTGTCACCTGGAGTTTGAGAGGGTCTCCTTGTCCCTCTTCACCAGGTACCCAAGATAGAGGAGAAGGAGGCCCTGGTGCCTGTCCCAAAGGCCGTGGACAGCTTCCACCCAGAACCCCACCCCCGAATGGCCTTCTGGATCATGAAGCTGCCACGGCGGAGGTCCCACCAGGATGCCCAGGAGAGCGACCACTGGCTCAGTGAGAAGCGACACCGCCTGCAGGCCATCCGGGATGGGCTCCGAGAGGGGACCCGCGAGGACGTCCTCAAACAGGGGACCCAGATCTCTCATGCCAGGCTGCCTGCCCGCAAGACCCACTTCCTGTATATCCTCAGGCCCTCCCAGCAGTTATAGGGGGGGACCGGGGAACACCTGCACGTACCCCCCCACCAGACCCCGCCCCAGGCACCATATGGAAATTAAACTTTTTCTTACATCCAGCAGCACTGTCTCCTTTGGAGATCTGTCCTCAGGCCTCAGCCAGCCAAGCCATGGCAAGTCCCCCCAACCTTAACCTTCAGCATGACATCTGGCTGAGATGTTAGTTCCTGCCAATGTCTCTGTGCTGTTTTCTGATTCACACGCCGTCTGTCTTCTGACTGAGCAACGCTGTGACCTCCAGCCCCATAAGTATCCTCAGTCCCCATCCCTGTCACCTCCAGTTCTGTCTGCCCTCCAGCTCCCAGCTCTTTCACTCCAGTCCTGTCTGTCCACTCTGCCCTTGCATTAGTTTCCTGTTACTGCCGCAAAAAATGACCGCTAATGTAGCAACTTAAAACAACACAAATGTATCCTCTCACTGATCTATAGGTCAGAAATCCAGGATGGCTGGGCTGGTCCTCTGTGCAGGTATCACAAGGGCAACATCAAGGTGTTAGCCAGCGGGGTTCTTACCTGCAGGCTCTGGGACAGCTCTGCTTCGAAGATCATTCAGGTTGTTGGCACAATCAAGTCCCTTGGGGTTGAACTGAGGTCCCTGCTTCCTTGCTGGCTGTCACCTGGGCCACCCACACTTGGTTCCTAGAGGTCTCTCTCCGGTTTTTGCATGTGGATGCCATACTTCAAATCTCACACGTGGAATCTCTCTGTATTTGCCTTCTGCCCCATCTCCCTTATGCTTTCCTCTTCCTCTTCCAGCAGGAGAGAGTTCGCTGCCTTGAAGGGCTCATGGGATTGGATTGAGCCCACCTGGACAACATATTAAACAGGTTCCATGAATTAGAGAGGGGCCATCTTTGGGGGGCCATTATTCTGTCCAGACCCTGTCACCTCCAGCCCCCAAGTCTGTTTCCAGCCCCATCTCTGTTACATCCACCTGTCTCCACTCTCTCATCTTTGTCTTTTCATTCCCTGACACTCAATTTACATGCTGACTCCATCTCGAATTGCTCTGTGTCTCTCTCCCTTTGTCCCTCTGTCTGTCCCTCCATGAGCGTCACCTCAGACTCTAACTCTGCAAGCCAGGCCTGCTGCCTCAGCCAAACCTGGAAGCTCAGAGACCCTGTCTTGGGTGCCCTGCCACTGTGCCCCCATCCCCCATCCTCAAAGCACCCCCTATTCCCTCCAAGACCCCTCTCTCAAGACCCACCATTGACGGACTTACCTGGCGGTCCACTGGTTAGGACTCCACACTTCCACTGCAGGGGGCGCAGGTTCGATCCCTCATTGGGGAACTAGGATCCTGTACGCCACGCTGTGTGGGCAAAAAAAAAAAAATTGAGAAGGCACATCAGGGTCTTTATGGTGCTGCGTCTTGTAGGGGTGCAGACACAACATGCACTTTCTCCCTCGAAGCCCAGCTTCAGGGTTGGATCACTCCACAGAGAGACTCAGCACATTCAGGAAACTAGCAATGTGTGGGCATAAATAAAAGAGAACTTCCTTTCGAAAAAAAATAGGTTTTTGATTATTCCAAATAAGCATCAATATGTCCTCATGGAGAATATCAGAACTTGACTGGCCTTTCCATACCTTCTCTACCCACCCCCCAGTCCCATTCACTTTCCCACCATTGACACTATTTCTTGTGTTTTTGATAAGTGTATTAGTCAGCTAGGACCGCCATAAGAAAAACCACAGACTGGGTGACTTAAACAACAGAAATTTATTTTCTCACAGTTCTGGAGCTAGAAGTCTGAGATCAAGGTGTCGGCCAGTTAGGTGTCTTCTGAGGCCTCTCTCCCTGACTTACAGATGGCCATCTTTTCTTTGTGTCTTCACGTGGTCTTTTCTCATGCACACACATGTCTGTGTCCAAATTTCCTCCTCTTGTAAGGGTATCAGTCATACTGGATTAGGGCCCATCTTAGATACCTCATCTTAATTTAATAATCTCTTTGAAGATCTGTCTCCAAATATGATTGTATTCTGAAGTACCAGTGGGTAGGGCTTCAACATATGAATTTTGGGAGGACACACATCAGCTTCTAACAGTACATATTCTTGCTAAATATGATCATTCCTTTTTATGCATGTATTTGTAATTTCCATAGGTGGTATTACACATGTCATTCTTACGGGGCTTTTTTTTTCAGCACCCTCTTTAAGACTCCTCCATATTGCATTGGTACATCCAATATCCATCCAATCCACTTAATAAATTCCATGGTCAGTCTTCACCACATGTAACCTTTCCACACTCTCAGTGATGCACAACTGAATTGCCTCTGACTTCCCACCATTACAAATAACGCTACAATAAACATTAGTATATATGTCCCCCTGTGGTCCAGAAGGAGGGCAGGAGGGATCTGGGGAGCTATAACCAGTAAAAGAATTGCTGGGTTGTAGGGGATGCATCTACCTATTTTGATTAGGTAGAATGTTCTCACAAGCCTACTCCCTCTAGCAGTCCATGGGGATTCCATAACCTTAACCACACCTGGCATCTGGGGAAATCGATGTTTCCCTGTCTGTAGATCAATAGAAGTATGCATCCATAGGTGATCCAGATACTGGCATTATCAGACACAGACCTTAAGGTAACTATGATTAATATGCTCAAAAAAATAGATGAAAAGATGGAGAATTTCATCAGAGAACCGGAACCTAAAAAGGGGGTGGGGAGGAGATGGAATCCAGTGTAAATTTTAGAACTTATAAATAAATTAAAAATTCAGCAGATGGGTTTTACAGCAGATTAGACACAGTGGGAAACAGGTCAGTAGAAATAGCCAGACTGAATCAGTGAAAAAGGATGGAAAATATACAAAAGACATATGAGACATACTGGTCATGGTGAAAAAGACTTTCAAACATATACTGAAGTCCTAGAAGTAGAGAGAAAAGAGAAAGAGTACTAAGCAACATTTGAAGAGACACTAGCCAAGAATTTTACAAAATTGATGAGACATCAACTCACAGATTCAAGCTTTAGGAACCACAAGCAGAATAAACACAAAGAAACCACACTTAGGCATATCACATTAAAACCTATGAAAACCTAAAACAACAAATCTTGAAAGCAGCCAAAGGAAAAGGACACTTTACTTCAAAGAGGAAATAAGACAGACAGCTGAGTTTTAAATAGGAAAAAAAATGGAAGTCAGAAAACAATTCAGTGACACAGTCAAAAGGCTGAAAGAAAGCCATCGTCAATCTAGAATATCATACCCAGTGAAAATATCCTTCAAAAGTAATGGCAGGGGGCTTCCATGGTGGCGCAGTGGTGGAGAGTCCGCCTGCCGATGCAGGGGACACGGGGTCGTGCCCTGGTCCAGGAAGATCCCACATGCTGCGGAGCGGCTGGGCCCGTGAGCCATGGCCGCTGGGCCTGCGCGTCCGGAGCCTGTGCTCTGCAATGGGAGAGGCCACTGCAGTGAGACGCCCGGGTACCACAAAAAAAAAAAAAAAAAAAAAAAAGTAATGGTAAAGGGACTTCCCCGGTGGTCCAGTGGTAAAGAATCCGCCTTCCAATGCAGGCAACACGGGTTCAATCCCTGGTTGGGGAACTAGGTTCCCACACGCTCCAGGGCAGCTAAGCCCACGCATCACAACTACTGAGCTCGCACGCCTCAATGAGAGAGCCCGCACGCCACAACTAGGACCCAATGCAGCCAAAAAAAAAAAAAAGTAATGGGAAAATAAAGACATTTTTTCAGACAAACTGAAACGAAACATTTATCAGCAGCAGTCCTGCACAAAAAGAAATGCTAGAGTTTGTCAGGTAGGAGGAAATGCCTCCAGATGAAAGTTCGGTAATGAGGGGAGATATAAAGAACCCTGAGGTAAGTATGTGCCAAATCTAAATGAATACTGACTGCTTAAAACAATAACAATAATACCTTGTGGAATTTAAAATATATGCAGAATTAAAATGAACGACAGGGAATTCCTGTGGTTAGGACTCGGTGCTCTCACTGTCAAGGGCCCAGTGTTCAATCCCCTGTCAGGGAACTAAGATCCCACAAGCTGCTCGGTGCAGCCAAAATAAATAAATAAATTAAATAAATAAAATGCAAGACAACAGGCAGGAGGAGCTAAATGGAATTAAAGTGTTGTTAGGTCCTCACGTAGTCCAAGAAATGATAAAAGTACTAATTTAAAGTAGAACTCTAATAAGCCAAGGATGCCTATGGTAGTCTCTAGGAAAACCACCAAAAAAAGAATAAAAGAACATAACCATCCACATAACAGAAGAAGAAGAATAAAACATAACAGAAGAGAAAAAAACAAAAAAACTTGACTAATATAAAAGAAAGCCAGAAGAGAATACACAGAACAGATTAGATGGGGGAAATATAAAACAAATAGCAAAATGGTAGATCTAAAGAAAAATAGCAGTATTACATTAAAACTAAGTGGAACTTTATCAGAATTGTTCTATTAAGACTCGTGCATTTTAACACATGTAAAGTTTACCTGAAAATAAGAAATGTTAAAAAAATAAATGACAATATAAAGTGGGATGAGGGTACAGGTATAAATAAGAGAATGGCAGACTGTTGACCATTGTTAAAGCTGGGTGTTGGATACATGGGGCTTTGTTCTGCTCATTTTGTATATATTTGAGGTTTTTCAAAATGAAGGTTTTTTTTTTTAAGTAACTGGAACTAAATACTCCCAATAAAGGCAAAGATTTCCTGATCTACAACTATATGCAACTGTATAGCTGAATTTCACAACAATTGAGCAAAAGAACCAGATCACAAAAGAGTATATACTATATGGTTCCACTTATACGGAGTATGAAAACAAGCAAAAGTAATCTATGCTGTTAGCAACAAGGGTAGGGGGTACCCTTGGGGAGACTGCTGGTGCTGTGTCTGGGTGGACAAGGGTCTAGAGTTATTAACTTTTGTCCTTCCTGGTAGAGAGGGGAGAGGGAACACCTTTACAAATTTATATCCATGGGG